AAGAAAGAAAGAAAGAAAGAAAGAAAGAAAGAAAGAAAGAAAGAAAGAAAGAAAGAAAGAAAGGTGTAGCTAAGCTGGTGGTGTAATTCCAACCATAGGCCCACCGCTTCAAGTTTACATAGGGCCACACTGGAAAGACTGTCTCAAGAAGAAACAAACCCCACAGAACCAGCCAACCAGCCAAATGGTTAGATCGTGGTTCTCTCACTGAGAACCATTGGCTTTCCCAGGCATTTGAGTTAGTACACAGCCAGCCTCATCAAGGAAGTGTTCCTTGTGTGAGCACCATGAGTGAGGTCCAAAGATGTTCTCATGGGGTTAGATCTGAGACAGAGTCTTGAGAAAGGCCATTGTGCTCCCACTTACAGCCGGAGTCTGGAGGTGACGCCCCTGCAAATGTCAAGGGTGCACAGTTGGAGAGTGAGACACACCTCACATGGAACCCAGAAGCACTTTCTTGAGGGCACACCTGCTTCTTCCCACACATCTTTGAGCAGATCAGAAAGCAGAAGGCAGAAATCATTCTCAGGAGGCTCCTAGGCCCCAGAGGCCAAGCAGGGTACCAGCTCCCCCTTATTTCCTGCAAAGAACAAGAAAGAGCAGTTTAGCACAACACAGGTTGTCTTTGTGAACGAGTTGACGGCAGGTGCCAAGCCTTCAAAAAGTAAAAATCCAGTGCTTGGTTAAGGGTGAGCTCAGATCAGAGCAGGGACGGAAGGGTATGGAGGCTGGTGCTGGTGACGAACAATCCCTCAGCTTTGGTGACTTTGCACAATGCTGCAAGCACACATCAGCCCACTGAAACTGTAAACTCGACATGGGTGGACCCTGTGGGGCATGGACTTCATCTCGGCAAGGCTTAAAAGGACAACCTCTCTCTTCTTCATCTGGGCTAGGGGGAGGGAGGAGTGGAACAGAAACTGCGGGAGCACGGTGATTCTGGGTGTAGCTTTCCATCTTCCCACCTTTATTCCCACTATTGTCCAAACAAAGTTTCACAATGCCGCCCAGGGTGGCCCCCAGGCCCCCTGCCCTCCTAGTTCACTCACTGCAAATGCTCTCCAGCACACAGGAAGTTGAAAGACAGCAGGATGGGCACCTGTCTCCCTTTCCCTGGAGTCAGCCTTCGTTGTTAATGTTCTGCATAGACACCATCCTTAGCGCACCTTATCTTTGCTGAACTATTTAGCATTAAAGTTGCAACCATCCCGATATCTCCCCCACCAGATACACCAGCATGTCTTTCCCAGGAATGTATCTTCTTCAAGAGAGCCACAGCAGTATTACCACACTTCAGAACATCAACAGTATCAGTGCCGTAATATTGTCTGATGCTCATTTCCTACTTACGGTGCTTACATTTCACTGAAAACAAAATCCATTTTTATAACAGTTCAGGTTTTTTTTTTTTTTTTCAGATGTAGGACTTATTCCAGGTTTGTGCACTGTATTTCCTGGTGCTGGGCATTGAACCCAGGGCCTCATACACGGTAAATGCAGCATCTACCTCAGAGCTACGTTTAGCCCCTGTATTTGGGCTTTTGTCTTTAAGTTGGTAATAGGGTTTGACCATAGGACCTTGTGATACTCGACCAATGCTTACCTCTGAGCATTACCAGCCTGAAAGCTTTGTTAATGTCTTTATTATTGTTGTTATTTCACACACCAGGCCCAGGCCTGGCTCTAGATGTATTTTTTCTCTTGAGGTATCAGTAGGCAAAGTAACCCATCCCTCCCAAGGAGCCCATGAGGAAGGACGTCCCAAAGAATGATGGCCGTTTCCGCTTGACAGTTGAAACACATTGGGGATGGCAGCCGATAGCAAGGTGTGGGTGTCGCCCAGGACTTTGCAGAAGGCAGACCATCTCTGGACCCTCTCAAAGAAGGACTGCAGGTTGGGCCGGCTGCCATCTTCCCAGTATTTCTTGGGCAGCCACAGGGTGTCTCCCAGGAGGACCGCCGCCAGGGTGAAGGCACAGCCACAGCGCCACATGCTTTATTCTCCAGCTCCACTTCAGTCTGGTCCAGAACCTTAGCCAGCTCCCCGAGGATCTGCTTCAGGTAGCTCCCATCCTCAAGCTCCAGGATCTTGGCCATAAGCTTCTTCTGTTTAGAACAAGGTCACGGAGAGCCGTGGTTCCTCCTCAGGTTCCAGTTTTATGAGGCCTGTTGTGGCATTGGCTAAAGGTCTTCGGATCTCGGCGGTGGGTATAGGCATCCATGGGCAGTGCATCCCGCAGGTCCCGGTACTGCAGACTCGGGCATGTTGTGGACGGCCTGCCTCAGGCATCAAGCCACCACATGCTCTCCTACGAAGGTGTGTTCCACATGGTCAACAATCTGGTCGCGTAGTCACCGATAATGTTGTCTTGGTGGATAATGATGGGCACCTCCTCATCCAGGTGAGCCTCATGAACCAGGGCTGCCTATGCCGGCTCTGAGGCAGGCTCACAGCCCTCGCTTCTCTGTGATCACCAGCCGCACCTTCTGTGAGGTGAAGGACTGTGCCTAGTGGTACAGAACCAGGCTCTCCTTGGGCCAATGGGCAGGGCTGGCTGCCTTGGGAGAGTGTGTGTGGGGATGGGGGGATGGGGGGGATGGGGCTCCACAGGCTTGGCTGCATTGCTGTCCAGCACGGAGATAAGACATGGCTGTAGTTGTTGGGGGTCAGGTTGCTGGTGGTCACCGTGACAGCCCGAAGTCTGAGGAGGGTCTTTATTCTTTTTAAATACTTTGCATTATTTCTTTGCCACCTACTCTTCCTTCTACCCTCCCTCTTGTCATGGATTTTGGAGAACCCTGGGCATTGCTAGACCCTATATTCTGGTTTTGTCAGACTGCGTTTCCTGTTGTGCCTTTGCTTGCTACCCGACCTCTGCACAGACTGAGCGTCAGTCCCAGAGCGTGAATACAAGCGTGGGCCATGGATGAAGTAAGGATGCCTCAGGTGGGCCTCCGAGCTGTCTTGTAAGGAGGCCAACCACTCCCGTCAATGACTGGCTCAGCCCACGTGAGTCAGTGAGTGCTGAGTAATTTGATTGAGTGTATGTCACCCTGGTGTTGGTTCAGTGTTCTTAGCCACCGTGTAGATGCTCTGTAATTACCAGCTGCTTTCACACTGTAGTTTTCAGCATTCACTGGCTGAACTGGGTTGTTCTTTCTTACCCTGTGTCTGCTTTTCTGTCTCCACTACTGTTTCCTTACCTCTCCCTACCCTTAACCACCTCACATCTCTCCTCCGTCCTACCTCTTATAAAAGTCTCTCTGTGTAGCCCAGGCTGGCCTTGAACTACTGCTTAGCCTCCTTCATGCTGTGATCACAGGCCTTCCTTCCTTCCTTCCTTCCTTCCTTCCTTCCTTCCTTCCTTCCTTCCTTCCTTCCTTCCTTCCTTCCTTCCTTCCTGTTTGTTTTGAGACAGTGTTTCTCTATGTAGACCAGGCTTTTCTCAAACTCACAGAGCTCTACCTGGCCCTGACTCCTGAGTGCTGGGATTAAAGACATGCATCACCACACCTGGCCATCTCCTGTTTCCTTCTTAAATTTTGTTTTCTCCTGTAGTTTTATCTCTCTTCCATCAATTATTATTATTATTATTATTATTATTATTATTATTATTATTATTTTTAATGGCAGTGAGGGACACTGTCTCAACTGCCAGCATTCAGAACTAAAGAAAGGACTGCTCTATGAGACTTTTTTTTTTTTTTCAAGTAAAAGGATGTATGCAGTGGAAGATGTGAAGTTTAAAACAGAAAGTCACATCGCTTCCAGTGCCTTTGGTTTACAGGAGAATCGCAGCTGAAAACCGTGTGCATGTAGGCACATGTTCTACCTCTGAGCTACACCCCAGCCCTGGA